ATATGCGTAGCCTTATTGAGTGGAAGGGAGATGAAGTTGGAGAAAGAATGTTTCCTAAGCTTGAGAAGTTGACGATTAGGAACTGTCCATTGTTAAAAAGTACTCCGAATCAATTTGAAATCCTCCGTGAATTAGTAATTGTCAGAGTTGACAGTGAAATGCCATTGTTGAACTTGTGCAGCAACTTGACATCTCTCATAGGGCTTGAAGTCTATGATATGAAAGAGCTCACTTGTTTGCCAGATGAGATGCTACGCAACAACATTTCTCTTCAAAACCTAATGGTCTCAGGCTGTGGAGAGTTTCGTGAATTGCCACAAAGCGTGTACAATCTCCATTCTCTTAAGCACTTAACGATTGGTAACTGCACGAATTTCAGTTCTTTTCCTGTTCCGAGTGAAGAGAATTATTTGACTTCCCTCCAAGATCTTCGGTTATTGGATTGTGATGGATTGAGCAGTTTACCAAGTGGAATGCTAGAGCATTGTCGGTCTCTGGAAACTTTGAGTGTCAGCTGCTGTGACAATTTAGTTTCATTCCCTTTACATGTGGGGGAAATGCCTTCACTTTCCTATTTGTATATATCACAATGTCCCAAATTGATTAGTTTACCCTCAGGGGGTATTCACCATCTCACTGAGTTAAGTGAACTGGAAATTGGTCCTTTCTCAGAGATGGTGGATTTTGAGGCATTCCAATTGATTTTTAATGGCATTCAGCAGCTGCTGTCCCTTCGTACATTGTGGGTGTATGGACATGGTCACTGGGATTCTCTGCCCTATCAGTTTATGCAACTCTCTGACTTAACAAAGATCCAAATATATGGATTCGGAATCGAGGCTCTTCCTCATAGATTTTGCAACCTTACTTCTCTTGGAACGTTAAGGCTAGTGAGGTGCAAACGGCTACAGAACCTGGACTTCTCATATGTCATGCCCAAATTACAATATCTGTGTGTAGAGGAATGTCCATTGTTAGAAGCTCTGTCGGATGGGCTTGGCAACCTTGTTTTTTTGGAACAGTTACATTTAGTAAACTGTGAGAAACTAGAGCATTTGCCATCCAGAGATGCCATGCAACGCCTCACCAAATTATGGAACCTGGGAATTAAAGGCTGCCCAAAGTTAGAAGAAAGTTGCACCAATCGGAGTGGTCCAAACTCCCAGTGGTCCAACATTTCCCATATTCAAAAAATTAAAGTTGGTGGAAGCACAATTCAGGACTTGCGTAAGTCTCTATTTCTCTTTCAATTTCCGAGTCGCATTTTTTAATTATTATTTTCCACGAGTTAGTCTTCTCCATTCTCCAAACATTTTTCTATTCCACTTGAAACAAATTTATGAATATCTATATTACTTTTAAGATATGGTTTAATCATGAATATTTATGTATTTTTTACTCATAGGTTATTAGCTCGAAGGTCACACTAGAACGTTGTTGTGGCATTTTAAGCCAAAATCCATGGGCAGCAATAACATTAGGTGAAATTCCATTTAGAATTCTGTAACAATTTTGTCAAGTTTTTCTTTGCACTCCTTTTTTTTTCTTCTCATGACACAATTTTATTGTTTAACGGGGTTAGTTATGTTCGATAGAGAGGAACCAACACGTTTGTTTTGTTGAAGAACAGAATCTTCAGCCGTAGACTCTTACATGAGCATTTGGTAAAGACTACTGACTACATAATCTCTCAACATTTACTCTTCATAACATGGATATATACCAACAACTATTAAGTAAAAATAATTTAGTACACAGTCGCTCATTTGCCCTAGTGAAACTATTCTTTTATGTATGGGTGTCTTTCGATAATATATAACCTTTTTCTACGAGTTGATGAAAATAAAAAGACTAACAAGTAGTTTTGGGTAAATAATGAATGAGTAGTTCAACCAACCAACAAGTACCATGTTCTAGACTTCCCCTTTTGGATGTTCACTTGAAATCTATTTTTTCTTCTTTTCTATACAATAGAAGCGTAAACTCAATATCAGGTCAGGTACTTTGGTCAGGTAGTAAAGGGTATCCGTGGACCGAGCCATTGAATTCTGTTCATGAACTATTCATAAGATGAAGTTAGGAGGTTGCTGTGCTACTAAAACTGACTTTTTACCGTCTCCTATGTTTCAGATTCTTGAATGAAACAATGGCATGAAACTTGTCGAGATGGTATACTGAAGCAGACTTCTCTTAGATGTGTTTAAGTGTCGTGATTAGCCAGGGAAATTACATTAGGCAGAAACTGGAGAGGAGATATTATTTACTTGTATGACTAAGATTTGACAGCAGAGGCCTTTCTTGCACAGTGTTCATGCCTTTTTGTACAAAGAGTTTATTGTTTCCAGCAAACATTTTGAACTTACTACTTAGCTGCTGCATCATTGCCTAGTTCATATACATCTTCTTTAATCAGTTAATGTAGCTGTTCTTTTCCTCTTCAAACTCATCTTGGCTATTCTTTTACTACACCCCCCTTAAAGAAAATACTAGGTCCGCCCTGCTTTAATGTAGCTGTGCTTTTCCTCTTGAAATTTATCTTGGCTAGTGTTTGCGCATAATAAACAATGAGGATAGGGCCTAATCGAATGGGTGAGTTGGTTTGCAAGTCACAAAAGAGCGTATTGTCATGACCCTTGCTTACAAGATCGTGAAAAATTCATGAGTAAGTTATCAAAAATTGCACGAAGCATTAGTGAATGTCTAAGTCGGTGACATAATATTTAAAGATGTAAATTACAAATTATTCTCATGGATTAAAAAAAGATGATTCATATAGGGTATATTTAATCTTTCTCACTTGTTTTTTTTTTCCGACTATTTATAATAATTCGACTAATTTGAATTTAGTATTTTAATGGTCAAATTTATTTATTTTCATTTGTTTTATTGTAAAATTTATTATACATGTCCCAAATATGTTTTTTATACATATAAAAACTAAATTACAATATAGCTACAAAAAAAATAAATATATTTTTTAGCTTTTTAATCCTTTTCCATTCAAACTTTTTTCTTTTTATTTTACCTGCTTTTACACTAAAAATGAAAAAAATAAGAATAAAAAAATCAAATAATAATAATCAAAGAAGTCAAACAATAAGTTATGTGTGAAAAATAACAAATACATGATTTTTTAAAAGAATTAAAAATTTTAAAAATAAATTTAAAATTATTTTTTTCACTTTTGTAACGATAGAGATTTAGGATATATATGATTCACTTTTAAATTGAGAGGGCATATATGAGTCATTATTGTAATAGTAAGGGTATATATGAGTCGTTATTGTAATAGTAAGTATATGAGCTATCTATTATATATATAAAAAATAAAAGGTATTTCAATTCTAAATGATAAAATTGAGGAGTATATCAAACTATTTTTTCCTTTATTAAGAAAAGTACTCGTACAAATAAAACAAATTTAAAAAAATTACTTAAGTAAATGAATATAAGAGGAAAAAGGATCCATTTTAACATATTTGAGACTCTCACGCGCTCAAACTTGGTTTTCATCCACATATATTTAGACTTTTTTCTTTTTTATAACTGTTTGAATGATTGTATATGCAAACAACGAGAAGAAGTCCAAACAGTCCCTTATAAGGTTTAAGTGTTCCTTATACTGGAACTTGTCGAGATGGTATACTGGAGCAGACTTCTTTGGATATGTTTTAAGTTTCAATATTTACTTGTATGACTAAGATTTGACAGCAGATGCCTTTCTTGCACAGTGTTAATGCCTTTTTGTACAAAGAATTTTTGTTTCCAGCAAACATTTTGAACTTAATACTTAGCTGCTGCATCCAGAGGCAGAGCCGAGATTTAGAGTTTGGAGGTACTAAATTTTCTTTAAAAAAAGAGAAAAGGGGGTTCAAACCCATAACTCTAGCGTGAAAAGCATTTTCACGGTCTCTTTCTCATCAACCAATGAGAATAATAAACCCTCACCTAGCTCCGCTTCTGGCTGTTCATATACAACTTCTTTAATGTAGCTGTGTTTTTCCTCTTGAAATTTATCTTGGCTAGTGTTTGCGCATAATAAACAATGAGGATAGGGCCTAATCAAATGGTCGAGTTGGGTTGCAAGTCACAAAACAGTGTATACTTTAAATATGTAAATCACATATTATTCTCATGGATTAAAAAAAAGAGATGATACAAACTTTTGCCTTTTTTGACATTAATTTTATCCACAAATTATGTAAGGGATGTTCAATCATCTTTTTATATATTTAGTAGATGTGATAACAAAGAAAATGACCAAAATAGTCCTTAATTTATAAGCAATGTTTTATTTTAGTGGTCGTTTGGTAGAGTGTATAAGAATAATGCAAAATATAGTGTATTAGTAATGCTTGTATTAGTTATGCTTGCATTAATTATGATGAGATTTTTTTTATGCAATGTTTGGTTTGGTGTACTCAAAATATTATGCATTACATAATTTTTTCAGGGGTCGTTTGGTAGAAAAATAAATAATGCAGAGATTAGTAACGCAAGTATTAGTAATGCAGGGATTAGTAGTGCAAGAATTAGTAGTGCAGGGTGTATTTTTTATCAAGTGTTTGGTTAATTGCTTTTGACCTCATCTTGTATTTGGATTTAAACTCTTCAAAAAGCTTCTTTCCAATTATACCCTTACATTATTATGAAATTTTCTATTTTATGTAATCGGTCAAGGTAGATAATTGTCGGACAATATTATATTTTTATGGTCTTCCAACTAGTTAGGAGAAGAATAATTTTGTGGTCATGTTTGCTATTTTCTCACTTGAATTATTTGAGGGTAAACAATTGTTATCTTAATAAATTAATCACTTAAAAATGTTAATTTCAATTTAGAATAGATAGACCATTTACTTTAAAATCGAAAAGACGGTATAAATAGTAAAATCGAATAAATCATCTACATTTACATATAAAAATTGCAAGTTGTAGTTTTAATATGTATGCAATTTATAAATTGTTCAAAATACAAACAATTAGAAACCACATATAAACCAACAAATAATATATTCAATTAAGATCACAAACACCATGTGGTAATATATTTGCCTTTTCAATTAGTAAATATTAAACAACTCACATTTTAAATATTGTATTGATATGTATTGCATTTATTTATGAACAAAAAACTCTCTCTAAATAATAAAATTTGTAAGCTAATTTATTTAAAGAAATTTACCAGTACAAATATAAAACATAAAATCAAGAAAATAAACAAAATGATTTGAGGGATATTTTTGTCTTTACATAGATAATCCCATGATATTAAATCCAATGCATTATTAATACCACCACGTGGAAGGTATTAGTAATACCTCTTATAATACCATGTAGGGTGTATAACTAATCCATGAATTAGTTATACTTAGGCCCAAAAATTCTACCAAACATAGTACTAAATAATATCATACATAATACATGAACTATTTCTCCTAATACTTAGAAAAAATATTTGTTTACAAAAATACCCTCCACAAATATAGTGGAAAGGATGTAATTTTTTTTTTGAGGGCGATTGTGTCTTCAATAATGCTAATGCATGCATTAGAACTTATTGCATTACTAATGCATTGAAATAGATAGTATTAGTAATACACTCTTCAATACACAATAGAGTGTATTACTAATACAAGCATTAGTTATGCATATGTTAGAAAAGTGTACCAAACAAGGTACTAATAATACATTAAGCAAATGCAAGCATTATTTTCTCCAATACACTCTACCAAACGATCTCTGTATTTCACCTGATTGAAATGATCCTCAATATATATCAAATAGCAATTGAACATTCGATACATAAAATTGTAGATAAAATTAATGTTAAAAAATATGTAAAAGTTTGGAGAAGGACCAAAAGTACACCAATATTCAAAGATGATGGGATATTAGTGCTCTATTTGAAAACTCAAAGACTACTTTGAATCTTTAACCCAAAATAAGGGACTACTTTGATTTTTGGGTTTTTTCTCTGCAAACAACTATCAAAAAGAAGACTTACTTTGAGATGACTTTGATGCAGAGAAAGAAGATTTTGTGAAGCAGCAAACACAACAATGGCCGATCCTGTATTTGCTGCTACTGTTAAAGTTTTGCTTGACAAACTGCTTTCTCTCACTATCAAGGAGATCAACAGTTCAAGGGATTGCAACGAAGATCTGGAAATGTTCACACAAAATGTATCCTTAATCCAAGCTTTCCTTCATGATGTTGAAACACCACAAGTTGAGAAACAACAGTCTGTCGAACAATGGCTCAGGAGGCTTGAGAGAGTTGCTGAAAATGCTGAAAATGTGTTTGATCGATTCAAATATGAATCTCTCAAAACAAAAGTGATGAACATCCGAAATAGCCCAATGAAAAAGGTCAGTGGTTTCTTTACTCATACTGCTTTTAAGAGCAAAATGTCTCGAAAAATCAACAGCATCAATAAAGAGTTGACCGCTATTAACAGTGTAGCCAAAGACCTCGGTCTCCACTCACTCATAGTTCCTTCTCGGAAAATATTTCCGATTCGAGAAACAGATTCCTTAGTAGTTGCTCCAGATGTTGTTGGTAGAGATTTGGATGTTGCTGAGATTAAGGAGAAAATTTTGAAGATGAGAGAGGAGGATGTTGTTATGTGCACTATTCCCATAGTGGGTATGGGGGGGTTAGGGAAAACAACTTTGGCTAAGAGGATTTACAATGATGAACACATCAAGCAAATCTTTGAAAAGAGAATTTGGTTGTGTCTACCTGAAATGTCTGAAACAAAGAGCTTTCTTGAACAAATCCTCGAATCATTGACAGAGAGGAAAACTGAGGTCCAAAGGAGAGATATAATAGTCAAGAAGCTACAAGATGAATTGGGAGGAAAAAACTATTTACTAGTCCTGGATGATTTGTGGTGTGTTGACTCTACATCGTGGCATGAGTTCGTCGACACCTTGAGAGGAATAAATACATCCATAGGAAACTGCATTCTTGTGACTACTCGTATGAAGCGGGTGGCATCCACTGTAGCAACAGATCTTCATATCTTGGGAAAGTTAACAGAAGATCATTGTTGGTCTATTTTCAAACAAAAAGCATTTGTTGATGGCAGGGCTCCAGAAGAATTAGCGAGCATGGACAACAAGATTGTTAAAATGTGCCAAGGCGGCAACAAGATTGTTAAAATGTGTCATGGTCTACCGTTGGCTGCAAGTGTGTTGGGAGGCCTATTACACAACAAGGAAAAACATGAATGGCAAGCAATTCTTGATGGCAACCCCATTGTTGCAGGTGAAGATGATAATGGAGAAAATAGCATAAAGAAAATCCTAAAACTCAGCTATGATTATCTACCATCTCCACATCTAAAAAAGTGCTTTGCTTACTTTGCAATGTTTCCAAAAGATTCCAAAAGATCTTATGTTTGAAAAGGCCCAACTAATCCAACTCTAGATGGCAGAAGGCTTTCTTCATCCATGTCAAGAGACCACCGTGATGGAAGACATCGGGAACAACTTCTTTCTACTCTTGTTGAGAAATTCCTTGCTACAAGATGTTGTGTTAGATGAGCATAACAATATAAAATACTGTAAGATGCACGATCTTGTGCATGATTTGGCTGGAGATATCTTCAAATCTAAACTATTTGATCAGAAGGGCAATGATGGAGAAAAACTTTCTCAAGTGCGATACTTTGGGTGGGACTCACCAAGTGATCAAATAGATAAGATAAATGAGCCAGGACGGTTGTGCACGCTGTTCTGGAGAAACAATTATATATCGGAAGATATGCTGTTGAGCTTTAAGTTCTTGAGAGTTTTAAATTTGTCTAGATCAGGAATCAAGGAGTTGTCAGCCTTAATCGGGAAGCTAATATACTTGAGATATCTAGATATCTCGAGCACTGAGATCACAACCTTGCCCCACTCCATTTGCAAGCTCTATAATTTGCAAACCTTTAGAGTCAATTGTTGCTATTCACTCAAGGAGTTTCCATATGAGATGGGAAATATGATAAGTTTGAGACACATATATTTTTATTCTTCGTCTCAGACGCCACTTAACTTGGGACAATTGACTTGTCTTCAGACCCTACAGTATTTCAATGTGGGTTTGGAGAAAGGCCATCGAATAGAAGAATTAGGTTGTTTGAATAACCTTAGAGGTGAATTGTGTATCAATGAGCTGGAATTGGTCCATAGTAGAGAAGAAGCTCTAACAGCATATTTACAAGAGAAATCAAATATTTACAAGCTGACATATTTATGGTCCCATCAGGAATCAGAAGGATGTGAGATTAATGCTAAGCATGTGTTGGATGGTCTTCAACCACATCCTAACTTGAAAACATTTGAAGTGGTGAGATATTTGGGTACTAGATTTCCTTCATGGTTCAATGAACAGTCGCTACCAAATTTGGTCAAGTTGAAATTAAGTAATTGCAGAAGTTGCAAAGAAATTCCATCTCTTGGCCAACTGAAATTCCTTCGGCATCTTGAACTGGTAGGGTTCCATAAGCTGGAATGCATCGGAACTACATTTTATGGTATTGAGGTTAACAATATGGGATCAAGTAGCAATAATGCCATTATCCAAGTGTTCCCATCATTAAAAGAACTAGTATTGGAGAATATGCGTAGCCTTACTGAGTGGAAGGGAGTGGAATCGATACCAACAACAAGTGGGGTAAGAATGTTTCCTGGGCTTGAGAAGTTGAGGATTAGCTACTGTCCATTGTTAAAAAGTACTCCGAAGCTATTTGAAATCCTACGTGAATTGAGCATTAAAGTAGTTGACAGTGAAATGCCACTATTGAATTTGTGCAGCAACTTGACATCTCTTGTAAAGCTTAGTGTCTCTTTTGTGGAAGAGCTCACTTGTTTTCCAGATGAGATGCTACGCAACAACGTTTCTCTTCAACACTTATCGGTCTCAAACTGCAGAGAGTTTCGTGAATTGCCACAGAGCTTGTACAATCTGCATTCTCTTAAGAGCTTAATCATTCAGTGCTGCACCAATTTCAGTTCCTTTCCTGTTCCCAGTGGAGAGAATTATTTGACTTCCCTACAAAATCTTCAGCTATGGAGTTGTGGTGGATTGGCCAGTTTACCAAGTGGAATGCTAGAGAAATGCCGGTCTCTACAGAATTTGAGGGTCAACTATTGTAACAACTTAGTTTCCTTCCCTTTACATGCGGGGGACATGCCTTCACTTTCCTATTTGTCTATAGCACACTGTCCCAAATTGGATAGTGTACCCACAGGGGGCCTTCACCATCTCACCAGGTTAAGGGAATTGGAAATTGGTCCCGTCTCAGATATGGTGGATTTTGAGGCATTCCAATTGACTTTTAATGGCATTCAGCAGCTGTTGTCCCTTCGTACTCTGCTTGTGTTCGGACATTTGCACTGGGATTCTCTGCCCTATCAGCTTATGCAACTCTCTGCCCTAACTCATATACATATATGTGATTTCGGAATCGAGGCTCTTCCTCATAGACTTGACAATCTTACTTCTCTTGAAGTATTACGTTTAGTGAGGTGCAAACGGCTGCAACATGTGGACTTCTCAGATGCCATGCCCAAATTACAGTATCTAACCATCTGTGGTTGTCCATTGTTAGAAGCTCTGTCGGATGGGCTTGGCAACCTTGTTACTTTGCAACAGTTAAGATTAGAGAACTGCGAAAAACTGGAGCATCTGCCATCCAGAGAGGCCATGCGACGCCTCACTAAATTATGGTACCTAAAAATTAAAGGGTGCCCAAAGTTAGAAGAAAGTTGCAACAATCGGAGTGGCCCAAACACCCAGTGGTCCAACATTTCCCATATTCCAAAAGTTAAAGTAGGTGGAAGCATAATTCAGGACTTGCGTAAGTCTCATTTTTAATTTTTATTTTCTACGAGTTCTAGAAAAGAAGTTCTGTATGAATATATCTCAAATTATTCAAACGTTTCGTTTGTTTTGCACGTTTATCCTTCAATAAAGAGTTTATCACTTAATCCTAGAATGTAGTACTCTTCATTACATAGTATAATGGAAGTTATTAAGTGGTATGTACTCTTCATTACATAGTATAATGGAAGTTCTTAAGTGGTATGGTTCTTGAATAAGGTAATTGTTCATTCTCTTCAAGTATAGACAAGTATTTTACTGGCATAACATTTGCTTGTCATATCTGGTATATTACAGTTTCTTTTGCGTAAGAGGAGGTGAACTGTAGAGAGGAAAAAGCTGACCTAATTTGACTTCTATTCAATTTGCATCAGTGGTGCTTTTGGAGACTCTGATTGTATGTCGTTTGAGATTTTAAGGTAAGTTTTTGTCCATAAAAAGTTTGCAAATGGTGGATTTTAGATCAATACTTTGTTTTTCTCTATGAATGGTTTTCCTTTCCCCCCTAAATGCCGTTTTTAAATCATCCTACTTACCTTTATCTCGTATACTGTTCTTAGTTAATTGAAAACTCTCAAGGAACAACACCAAGTCTCATATATAGTAGAGGTCTATATAACTTTCTTAATAGTCACACTTCTCGTTACTTGAACAAAAAGGAAATTTCAAAGGACTGCTATGTCTTGAACCTTACAGCAAAGAGTGCCCCATTGACTCTTAAAATTTCAAAAGACAACTAGGTTTGTCACAAAGCAATTTGTGTTCTTGTATGCAAGTTTTAGAGTTCAATAAGAATGTGAACTTACATTGATTATTTGCTGGTAATTGTTGTTTGGCATGTGGTTGAACTCTGGATACAGTCCTTCCTGTCTTGTGGATATCAATAAATCTTCAAGATTTGTTTCCTCAAATTCTCACCGATGGAGTGGCTGCAGCCTCCAGTTCCATCATGTCCCATTTGGGATATATTGCACAGAGACGTGATGGCATTGAAATGCTTATACCATTCTTGCTGACACTACAGTAAGTGATTGCCTCACATCTCAGTTAGATTGACAATCATTAGCCACAAAGGGAAGAAAAGAGTAAAAGGAGTATCATAGATGTCACCAAAGACGAATGTACAAATAACTCCCAAGGATCCCCTGTCCTTAGGTCCTGAAAGAGACACCGATCATATATGAAAGTTACATTCGAGTGGCTTTGAAGCTTGTGTCTTTACTTATGTCTAGTATATATGTAATTTATCTGATGTATCATTGCCTAGTTGATATATAGCTTCTCTCATCTAGCTCTGTTTTGAAATTTATCTTGGCATTTGCATTATTTTAAGTGCAAATACTATGATGGTTCAAATCTAGAGCTTGTGTTCCAAATCGACAAGGCATGCAATGTCCTCTTTTGATATATCAACTGTTTGTTGCAAATTCATGTGCTGTGTCTTGGTACTGAAGCACAACTCCTCACTAGATAATGCATTTGGTGAGCTTACTATTAAAAGCATTTATAACTACTGGAAACAGGAGTACTTACCATTCGGAGTTAAACAGTATGTACCATTTTATTGTAAAGATAGGTTATGCAATGGCTCTAACCAAAGATAGACCGTTGTATTTCGAATGCAATAGATACAAAATAAATACATAATACAATCTCTCTCCTCCCTCTCTCGATCGCTTTTCTCCTCTTAATATATATTCATTTCAATACAAATCGGTTTGTATTTGTATTTTTTTTTCCTCCAAAATTTGCAATTATACACTCTCTTCACTCTCCTAGATCTCACTCTCCTAATATTTTATTATTATTTGTAATTAAGCAAACTATAGCTATGAAGTCCTATTTAAAGCTTAATGTTTGCTATTTTTGAAAGTTTTCTTATTTAAATATAGAGTTATTATCTTAAAAAGTCACTCAACTTTGAGAATTTATCTAACAAAGTAATTAAACTTTGATTTGTATCACAAAAATCACTCAACTTAAACTTTTATATCAAAAAAATCACTCAATAAAATTTATTTTCTTGAAAAAAAATTAACATATCAAAATATTTCTTGTACCATATAAATGTAGACTCCACAAATAAATAAAATCAAATTCATAATTAAAATTTTTTTTAAAAAAATTCGATTTTAGTCAAACTGAAACTATACCAACTCTGTACACTGCAACTAATGCTCTATTAATTAATGTTAATTTGATGATGAAATTCAATTTATCTCTTTTTAAAAAATAAATAATAATATTGGATGATATTTGATTAAGTAGTTTTTTTTTTTGAAAAAAAATCTTGCCAATGTTAATATGACAACTGTTATGTTTGGCCAAAGTTCAAAAATTACAGGGTCGTTTGGTAGAGTGTATAAGAATAATGCAAAATATGGTGCATTAGTAATGCTTGCATTAGTTATGCAATCATTATTTCTTATATATTGTTTGGTTTGATGTATTAGAAATAACAAATCTTGCATAATTTCTATTAAAAATATATATGTTTACAAATATACCCTTCACACTTTATTTATTTGTACACTTTCTTTGCAAAAAAGTTCTTTGTTAAAACATCAAAAAAAATTCTTTGCTAAAACATTATTAACTTTTCTTCTTCTTTTTTTTCAAAAATAATATTAAATAGTTGTACTATTGCATCAAAATATTTTTGTGGAAAGTTGGCAAATAGTTTTTTTTATCAAATTTATCGTCACAATAAAAAAAAATTATTAAATTATATTGAAATTGTTTTTTTTTTAAATAAGATACTTAAAAGGTCATAAAAGTCTATTAAGACACCAAAAAATTAAAAGACACCGAAAAGCAAATCAAAATAAAAACAAAAACTTATGACAACAAAGAAAATGAAAAGGCTTTAAAGGTAGTTTTGTAATTATTTAATATAATGCAAGTGTTAAAATGCTATGTATTACTAATACCTAGAATTCCTTGGTATTAGTAATACACAAGTTAATACACAATAGAGTGTATAACTAATGCAAGCATTAGTTATACATGACATGAAAAAGTGTACCAAATAAG